GTCCACGAAAGCTTATGCTCTAATAAATTTGTTAGTCTCTAAGGTGCCACAAGTACTCCTGTTCTTTTTGCGGATACAGACTAACACGGCTGCTACTCTGAAACCTTTTATTAATGTGGTAAATTTTGTACTGTGGCTTGTTTGTGATCTTGTTGCTGCACCAACTCGTTCTTCATTAGTTGTTGTGTGAAATGCCACCTAAGTCGTGGTGCTGTTTCTTCTGACATTCAATGAGAATGGGGTGGGGCTGTGGGCAGGACTGTGGGCGGAACGGGGCAGGAGAGTTGGGGAGGGCCCCCCCACTTTCTGTGGCCCAGGGCCTCATGAAACCTTAATCCACCTCTGACTGTGAGCACAAGAACAGCAAATGAAATTTAATTAGTTTGCTGCACAAATGTTTGGAGGAATTTTGATTCTTATCCAAACATTTGGGGGTAATAGTGGGTTTTTCAAAAATATGATAATTAATTTGGCAATTTGTGAATTTTGCTGAACACTGAGTGCCAAATTCTTTGCTGGTGTAACTCTATTGAAGTCAATGGGGTTTTATTAGCAGAGAATTTATATCTGAACTCTATGGCCCTCTGAATATCAATCAATCAAATCAGGCCTGTTTTTTCAAGGATAAATCAGTGTTAAAGCTGTGTTGGTTGGAGCCACTTTTAAAATCAGTTTCTGGTTGGTTGTGTAGGGTAGACCTGACCACTCTTTCATTCTTATCTCACACAAATCATGCTGGGCACTATTTATGTGTTTGTATGGAATAAAAACATGTTTTTAGTCACCGCTTCCAAACTAAGGCAAGTCCTGGATTTTTTGTTTTTTAGATCCCTTTTTCCCGAGGGTTAATCCCTGGATGGTGGCTCTGAGTGTGATCCTGGTGGTTTTGTTTGGTTTCATTAGCCTCACTGTTTATCTCTTTACAAGGAAAGGTAAATATTAGAGGGAGAAATATACTATAAATACAGGTTTTAGCCTAATAAATTAATAAGGGCACTTCAGGAATTTAACATTAAAAGAATATGTGACCTGCTGGTCTTGTCCTAAATAAAGGAGAAGAATACATGTGAATTTATTGGTAGAGGGGAGGTGGGGAGGGGAACTGGAGGGAGGAGAGTCTCTGGCAGTAGAACTGAGCCAGAGAATCAGATCATAGCTGATGCATCTGCATCCTGCCAGGGATGTAAATACCATTTAAAAATTAACCATTTAAATGATTAAAAATATTTTGTTTGTCTGGGGACAATCCTGCAGCTGGGGCCGCTCCAGCCGGCCGGCTTTGCTCTGGCCAGGCAGCATGGCTGGGGCCACTCCAGCCAGGCGGCACTGCTCCGGTGGCTGGGGCCGCTCCAGCCAGGTGATGCTGCTGGGGTCAGCAGGCAGGCAGGCGCAGGGTTGCTGGGGCCGGCCGTCCCGGGATTAACGGTTAAGGCGGGTTAACTGGTAAGACTAATGCTTACCGGTTAACCTTTTACATCCCTACATCCTGCTTGGTCCTCCAGCTCCCGCTCCTCCCAGTTCTCATCTCTGGTCCCACTTGAAACAAGGTTCTGCAAAGCCTGGTCTCTCCTATTTGTACTTCAAATCTCTTTTTTGCTACTAAAGTATAGTGCATTAACATTACAGTGATGGGCCCTATAAAGATGCCCCTGTGGTAAGTCAGTAAATAAACACATTTGTTCCTTGGTTACAGAGAAAATAATAGTATCTCTCACATCACTCAGACACAGCTATCTGTAAACCCTGGTGAATTTCATGCATAAAAAATGTCTTTGTCCAAGTTTCACAAAATTCAGACACATCCCTCTGTGCTCCTAGTGAATTTCATACATATTTTAACTCTGTTTCGTGAAGAAAGGAGATGATAATATTTATTTCTATATTTTTAAGGGAAACGTACTGAAGAAATTGGTAAGTTTAATTTTCTCTTTTTCCACAAATACATTGTTTGTACACACTGTGACAAAGTTCCTCCTCTATCTTGGTGGGTCCTGCAATTATTGGTGGATTTTCTTGCCTCAGAGATTCACCATGTGGGTTGGGGAACAGCCCAGAGACCTTCCCCTCTGGAAGAACGCACAGTCCAGGTCAATTGGGAGGTTTGGGGGGAACCCGGGCCCGCCCTCTACTCCGGGTTCCAGCCCAGGGCCCTGTGGACTGCAGCTGTCTATAGTGCCTCCTGTAACAGCTGCATGACAGCTACAACTCCCTGGGCTACT